ATGTAACTCTGTGTTGTTGTTTTTTATCGCACTGCTTTGCTTTATCTTGGCCAGGTCGCAGTTGTAAATGAGAACTTGTTCTCAACTGGTTTACCTGGTTAAATAAAGGTGAAATAAAAAATAAATAAATAAAACTATGACAGACAAATTGAGGGAAAAAAATACAGAAAATCCCATTGTAGGATTTTTAATGAATTTATTTGCAAATTATGGTGGAAAATAAGTATTTGGTCACCTACAAACAACCAATATTTCTGGCTCTCACAGACCTGTAACTTCTTTAAGAGGCTCCTCTGTCCTCCACTCGTTACCTGTATTAATGGCACCTGTTTGAACTTGTTATCAGTATAAAAGACACCTGTCCACAACCTCAAACAGTCACACTCCAAACTCCACTATGGCCAAGACCAAAGAGCTGTCAAAGGACACCAGAAACAAAATTGTAGACCTGCACCAGGCTGGAAAGACTGAATCTGCAATAGGTAAGCAGCTTGGTTTGAAGAAATCAACTGTGGGAGCAATTATTAGGAAATGGAAGACATACAAGACCACTGATAATCTCTCTCGATCTGGGGCTCTACGCAAGATCTCACCCCGTGGGGTCAAAATGATCACAAGAACGGTGAGCAAAAATCCCAGAACCACACGGGGGGACCTAGTGAATGACCTGCAGAGAGCTGGGACCAAAGTAACAAAGCCTACCATCAGTAACACACTACGCCGCCAGGGACTCAAATCCTGCAGTGCCAGACGTGTCCCCCTGCTTAAGCCAGTGCATGTCCAGGCCCGTCTGAAGTTTGCTAGAGTGCATTTGGATGATCTAAAAGAGGATTGGGAGAATGTCATATGGTCAGATGAAACCAAAATTGAACTTTTTGGTAAGAACTCAACTCGTTGTGTTTGGAGGACAAAGAATGCTGAGTTGCATCCAAAGAACACCATACCTACTTTGAAGCATGGGGGTGGAAACATCATGCTTTGGGGCTGTTTTTCTGCAAAGGGACCAGGACGACTGATCCGTGTAAAGAAAAGAATGAATGGGGCCATGTATCGTGAGATTTTGAGTGAAAACCTCCTGAATTGAAGATGAAACGTGGCTGGGTCTTTCAGCATGACAATGATCCCAAACACACCGCCCGGGCAACAAAGGAGTGGCTTCGTAAGAAGCATTTCAAGGTCCTGGAGTGGCCTAGCCAGTCTCCAGATCTCAACCCCATAGAAAATCTTTGGAGGGAGTTGAATGTCCGTGTTGCCCAGCGACAGCCCCAAAACATCACTGCTCTAGAGGAGATCTGCATGGAGGAATGGGCCAAAATACCAGCAACAGTGTGTGAAAACCTTGTGAAGACATACAGAAAACGTTTGACCTGTGTCATTGCCAACAAAGGGTATATAACAAAGTATTGAGAAACTGTTGTTATTGACCAAATACTTATTTTCCACCATAATTTGCAAATAAATTCATAAAAAATCCTACAATGTGATTTTCTGGAATGTTTTTTTCTCATTTTGTCTGTCATAGTTGACGTGTACCTATGATGAAAATTACAGGCCTCTCTCATCTTTTTAAGTGGGAGAACTTGCACAATTGGTGGCTGACTAAATACTTTTTTTCCCCACTGTACATTTGAACTCAGTTTTTCACAATTCCTGACATTTAATCCTAGTAAAAATTCCCTGTCTTAGGTCAGTTAGGATCACCACTTTATTTTAAGAATGTGAAATGTCAGAATAATTGTAGAGAGAATTATTTATTTCAGCTTTTATTTCTTTCATCACATTTCCAGTGGGTCAGAAGTTTACATACACTCAATTAGTATTTGGTAGCATTGCCTTTAAATTGTTTAACTTGGGTCAAACGTTTCGAGTAGCCTTCCACAAGCTTCCCACAATAAGTTGGGTGAATTTTGGCCCATTCCTCCTGACAGAGCTGGTGTAACTGAGTCAGGTTTGTAGGCCTCCTTGCTCGCACACGCTTTTTCAGTTCTGCCCACACATTTTCTATAGGATTGAGGTCAGGGCTTTGTGATGGCCACTCCAATACCTTGACTTTGTTGTCCTTAAGCCATTTTGCCACAACTTTGGAAGTATGCTTGGGGTCATTGTCCATTTGGAAGACCCATTTGCGACCAAGCTTTAACTTCCTGACTAATGTCTTGAGATGTTGCTTCAATATATCTACATAATTTTCCTTCCTCATGATCCCATCTTTTTTGTGAAGTGCACCAGTCCCTCCTGCAGCAAAGCATCCCCACAGCATGATGCTGCCACCCCCGTGCTTCACGGTTGGGATGGTGTTCTTCGGCTTGCAAGCCACCGTCTTTTTCCTCCAAACATAACGATGGTCATTATGGCCAAACAGTTCTATTTTTGTTTCATCAGACCTGAGGACATTTCTCCAAAAAGTACGATCTTTGTCCCGATGTGCAGTTGCAACTGTAGTCTGGCTTTTTTATGGCGGTTTTGGAGCAGTGGCTTCTTCCTTGCTGAGCGGCCTTTCAGGTTATGCCGATATAGGACTTGTTTTACTGTGGATATAGATACTTTTGTACCTGTTTCCTCCAGCATCTTCACAAGGTCCTTTGCTGTTGTTCTGGGATTGATTTGCACTTTTCGCACCAAAGTACGTTAATCTCTAGGAGACAGAACGCGTCTCCTTCCTGAGCGGTATAACGGCTGCATGGTCCCATGGTGTTTATACTTGCGTACTATTGTTTGTACAGATGAACGTGGTACCTTCAGGCGTTTGGAAATTGCTCCCAAGGATGAACTAGACTTGTGGCGGTCTACAATTTTTTTTCTGAGGTCTTGGCTGATTTCGTTTGATTTTCCCATGATGTCAAGCAAAGAGGCACTGAGTTTGAAGGTAGGCCTTGAAATACATCCACAGGTACACCTCCAATTAGATTTAGATTTTAGTCATTTAGCAGACGCTCTTATCCAGTGTGACTTACAGTTAGTGAGTGCATACATTTTTTTTTAACATACTGGCCCCCCGTGGGAATTCACTCAAATGATGTAAATTAGCCTATCAGAAGCTTCTAAAGCCATGACATAATTTTCTGGAATTTTCCAAGCTGTTTAAATGCACAGTCAACTTAGTGTATGTAAACTTCTGACCCACTGGAATTGTGATACAGTGAATTATAAGTGAAATAATCTGTCTGTAAACAATTGTTTGAAAAATTACTTGTGTCATCCACAAAGTAGATGTCCTAACCGACTTGCCAAAACTATAGTTTGTTAACAAGAAATTTGTGGAGTGGTTGAAAAATGAGTTTTAATGACTCCAACCTAAGTGTATGTAAACTTCCGACTTCAACTGTAAGTATTCAGACCCTTTGATATGAGACTCGAAATTGAGCTCAGGTGCATCCTGTTTCCATTGATCATCCTTGAGATGTTTCTACAACTTGATTGGAGTCCACCTGTGGTAAATTCAATTGATTGGACATGATTTGGAAAGGCACACACCTGTCTATATAAGGTTCCACAGTTGACAGTGCATGTCAGGTGGAAGCCACTCCTCAGTAAAAGGCACATGTCAGCCCGCTTGGGGTTTGGGCAAAGGCACCTAAAGGACTCTCAGACCATAAGAAACAAGATTCTCTGGTTGGATGAAACCAAGATTGAACTCTTTGGCCAGAATGCCAAGCGTCACGTCAGGAGGAAACCTGGCACCATCCCTACGGTGAAGCATGGTGGTGGCAACATCATGCTGTGGGGATGTTTTTCAGCGGCAATGACTGGGAGACTAGTCAGGATAAAGGGAAAGATGAACGGAGCACAGTACAGAGAGATCCTTGATGAAAACCTGCTCCAGAGCGCTCAGGACCTTAGACTGGGGCGAAGGTTCACCTTCCAACAGGACAACAACCCTAAGCACACAGCCAAGACAATGCAGGAGTGGCTTCGGGACAAGTCTCTGAATGTCCTTGAGTGGCCCAGCCAGAGCCCAGACTTGAACCCGATCGAACATCTCTGGAGAGACCTGAAAATAGCTGTGCAGCGTCGCTTCCCATCCAACCTGACAGAGCTCGAGAAGAATTGGAGAAACTCCCCAAATACAGGTGTGCCAAGCATGTATCTTCATACCCAAGAAGACTCTAGTCTGTAATCGCTGCCAAAGGTGCTTCAACAAAGTACTGAGTAAAGGGTCTGAATACTTATGTAAATGTAATATTTCTGTTTTTTAATTTGTAATAAATGTACTAACAATTCTAAAAACCTGTTTTTGCTTTGTCATTATGGGGTATTGTGTGTAGATTAATGAGGGGAAAAACAATTTAATCAATTTTAGAATAAGGCTGTAACGTAACTGTGACGTGTACTGAGTATACGAAGAGGCAGGACGCAGACGCAGGAATTAACAAGGTCAAGGTTAACTTAACAATGAGAAAGAGAATAATAAAGAGCGAGTAAACGACACAACGCTAACAATTACACACAACATCATCCAGAACAGTCCAGGCCTATTTAGTGGTGGTGATGAGATGATGAGGTGCAGGTGCGCTAGAGGTGATTAGGATGCGTTAGGTTTCCTTTCCTGTGTTTTCCGAGGTGGTGCGCTCAGACCAGTGGCTAAGTAGACCGGCGAATCAGAGCACCGGAGGGGAGCAATGGGAGGAGACGTGACAGTAACAAAATGTGGAAAAAGGGGTCTGAATACTTGCCGAATGCACCGTAGACAGAGAGAGGAAGAGATAGAAAGAGAGAGGGGGGAGAAAGAGAAGAGAGAGAAGGAAAGGTATAGGCGCGCTGAGGATAGACAGAAGCAGATGGACAGAAAGAGGCAGGCAGAGAAATAGAGAGAGAAGGAGATGGAGAGAAAGAAGCAGGCAGAGAAATAGAGAGAGAAGGAGATGGAGAGAAATAAGCAGAGAGAGAGAAAGAGAGAGAGAAGAAGCCAGCAGTAGCAAGTGACACTCCTCCGCCACAGAGGAGAAGTTCTGAAGGAGCAGTTCTGAAAGAGCAGTTCTGAAGGAGCACCTACGCTCTCCTCACCTGATCCTGTCTGGCACCCTCTGCGTCTGGTTGCCATCTGTCTGGCAGTTGCCTGCGAAGTAGTGTGGCCCTCGGGCCCAGCCGTACTCCTTCCTCAGAGCCATGGCTCCGTGGGTCAGCACAGACACCCCTTTGGCAATCCTCCGGCGGGGCTCATCTCTCCAGCCCTGCGGCCGCACTGCGAACAGGGCCTTGGGGAGGCCCTCCAGGCCAAGGCCAGACAGGGCTGGCCCCACAGCGAACCACATGTGGGAGTGTCCGGCCTGACCCGAGGCCCAGGCCGCCTTGAAGATCAGCGCAGCCTCCTCCTGGGAGCAGTAGAGGAGACGCACCTGGAAGGAGCGGGGGAGGAGGAAGAGGGGGGAGAGCGTGTGGTTATGTGGGAGTCTTGTTGGACCGAACTGGGTCAAATGATGTCAGTCACACTGTGGCAGTTTTGGGGGAGTTCACTGCCCTCTTTGAAAACATCTCAACTCAGATCATTTCTCATTCAGGCTGCAGCAGTGGACAGTTTTTGGGGTGAAATGTTATATTGTTACATAATTTCTGTTTATTTTTGTTAATTCTCCTATTTCTTATTTACATACACTATATATACAAAAGTATGTGGACACCCCTTCAAATCAGTGGATTCGGCTATTTTAGCCACACCAGTTGCTGACAGGTGTATAATGGTCTGGGGCTGTTTTTCATGGTTCGGGCTAGGCCCCTTAGTTCCAGTGAAGGGAAATCTTAACGCTACAGCATACAATGACATTCTAGACGATTCTGTGTGTTCTAGGTTTTGGTTTTTCCATTTCTGTTTTGAGTTTGGACTTTAGCACGTTGGGCGCACCGATTGGTGTCACCTCGTTAGTCAGTATGTGTTACACCTGTGCTGGTTGCCGTCTCGTTAGTGGGAAGGTGTTTCAACTGTGCTGGCCCAGGTGCTATTTAAGTGTGTCTAGCCTAGTGCTCTTGAGAAATGTGGTGGGTTAACACCTTTAGTTGACAAGCCCTATTGCTAGAAAAACAATCCCTTATCTGATCTTCCCTGTTTTCGCTTTGCTCCACTTTTTGGTTTGCTTCCTGTCCTTAAGTTTGGTGTGAGTTTTGTTTGACTCTTTACATTTCAGTCATTTAGCAGACGCTCTTATCCAGAGCGACTTACAGTTAGTGAGTGCATACATTATTATTTTTATTTTTTTCATACCTGCCCCCCGTGGGAATCGAACCCACAACCCTGGTGTTGCAAACACCATGCTCTACCAACTGAGCTACATCCCTGCCGGCCATTCCCTCCCCTACCCTGGACGACTTGTGCGCCGCCCCATGTGTCTCCCGGTCGCGGCCGGCTACGACAGAGCCTGGATTCGAACCAGGATCTCTAGTGGCACAGCTAGCACTGCGATGCAGTGCCTTAGACCACTGCGCCACTCAGGAGGCTTAGTGGGCAAAGTTAGTGGGCGCTCATGGTGGGTGTCTTTTAGGTTGCAGTTGTTGTTGCTAGACAACTTTCAGTGGACACCCTCATGACTGTCTTTCAGAAACCCTCCTAAAACCCCACCTGGTTTGGTTGTTGTCAGTGACTCTTGTTAGTTCCCCTTTCTTTTTGAGCAACAAATTTTTTTTTTCTTGCTGGGGAAACTGTGTGCTCATCCGGGATCTTGTTTCCCATGAGTATGGTTGTTGCTCTTATCACCTACTCTGAAGCTCTGCTGTGCCCAGATATGAGTGTTCAGAATAGCCTTTTGTGGTAGAGTTTCTGTCCCTGACATCCACCCTGAGGGGTTATAAGACTGGTGGAATCATTTTGAAAGTTGCATAAACCCACAGGCTTAAAACATTTAAGCCATGGACTTTAAGTTGGAAGCATTTGTGGGAAAACCTACATGGGAGATCCTATATAAATGTACAAAGGCGAATCTGCTCATCATTGCAAAGCATTATGCCAAAGTGGTATGTGGCAATCCAAAAGCAGTAGTTAAAGAGTTGATCGGTACTGCTTTGGTGGAGGAGGATATCTTTCCGGAGAGGGAGGTTGATGAAAAGGGTCCTGCGGGTGGTAGAGTACATCCCGTAGACGTGCAACTAAGGGAGTTAGAACTAAAGGCAAAGTTGGAGCAACAAAGATTAGAGCTTGAACAACAGAAATTAGAGCTTGAGCACAAGGAAAGGGAAAGAGAACGTGCAGCCAGACTAGAACAAGAAGAACGTGCGCATGCCATTCGATTAAGAGAGATGGATCTGGAAGTGCTCCGAATCCAGTCAGGCCATCCAGCACCCTAAACAGAGTTTGATCTTGGTCAGAACAGCCAGCTTGTACCGCCTTTCAACGAAAAGGAGGTGGGTGTATATTTTACTCTGTTTGAGCGGATTGCCACATCCCTAAAATGGCTGTGATATATTTGGTCACTGCTCCTCCAAATTGTTCTTGTAGGAAAAGCTCAGAAAGTGTATGCCGCTTTATCTCTTAACCAGAGTTCAGATTATGACACTGTTAAAACTACTATCCTTCGGGCTTACGATTTGGTCCCAGAAGCATACAGACAACAGTTCCGTAAATTACGAAAGACAGAATCACAAAGCCATGTTGAGTTTGCAAGGGAACAAGCATGTCTTTTTGATTGGTGGTGTGGTACTCACGAGGTTAAGGACCTTGAGGATTTAAAGACACTCGTACTTCTCGAGCAGTTCAAGAATTGCCTTTATGAAAGGGTTGCTACCTACATTTATGAGCACAAGGATCTCACTCTTGAGAAAACTGCAGTCCTTGCATATGAGTTTGTGTTGACATAAAACTACCTTCACAAACAAAGCACCCAGTAGTTATCCCTACGCAAAAGCCAATCCAGGGAAGTCACCTCCTACTACGAGGTTTCAGTCCTTTTCTACAGTGCCCAAAGATAAATATCGGCAGAAAACTGGTTTATCGTATCCGCCAGTTTGTCATTACTGCCGTGAGAAAGGACACATTGTCTCTGTGTCCTAAGTTGAAACAGAAAAATGAGAGAAAGAAAAATAAATTTCTTGTTGTGGGAGCACTGCAGCCCATTAAGTCTCTGGTTGGGACTGGTGTATCTCCTAAACAAGATTTTGGATCAGATGTGTATGAACCCTTTGTTTCAGACGGGTTCGTGTCTCTGCAGAGTGGCGATGCTGTTAAGCAGCCGGTGAAGATACTGTGAGACACTGGGGCAGCCCAGTTCTTCATTTTAAAGGGTGTTTTGCCTTTCTCTGGCACTTCAGCAACTGGTTACAGTGTGTTAGTACAAGGTGTGGAGATGGGTTGCATGGATGTTCCTTTGTATAATGTGGAACTCCAGTCTGATCTTAATTCTTGTTATGTTGTCGTTGGAGTGAGGCCTAGCCTACTGGTGAAGGGGGTCTCATTCATTTTGGGAAATGATTCGGATGGGGGGAAAGTGGTTCCAAATCCTGTCGTTTGTAATGAACCCAGAGTAGAGGAACCTGATGGGTTATCCGAAAAGTACCCTAGAGTGTTCCTGTGTGCCGTTACATGTTTCATTACACGTTTTGTTTTGGTTGTTGTCAGTGACTATTTGTTAGATCCCCCTTCTGTTTGAGCGACATTTTAGGTTTTCTTGCTGGGCAATGTAACACATGGAAGACAAGACTGAATTCAATGTCACAGACCAAACTATTTGAAGTATGCCAGGTAACTTAATAAGTATTCAGAGAAACTGGCGTAATGTCTTTGCATATTTCCAAGAACGGTGATTGGAGTGTCTTTCAGGTAATTGGTTACCAAGACGATACTGTACTAATCAGTGTCAAATTAATTCTCAGCAGGAGTGAAATCCGGTATAGCCTGCACAGCAGAGTCCTTGTGTCACGCCCTGACTCAGGGGACGCTTATATGTTGAGTCAGGGTGTGTATATTCCTTGTTGTGCTTTGTCTATGTTTAGGATCTAGTATGTCTAGATCTATGTTGGCCGGTGTGGTTCCCAATCAGAGGCAGCTGTCGCTCGTTGTCTCTGATTGGGGACCATACTTAAGCTGCCTATTGGCACTGTCTAGTTGTGGGATCTTGTTCCGTGTAAGGTTTGTTTTCTGTACTACCTTGGACTTCACGTTTCGTTTAGTTTGTCGTTGTGTTTATTTGGTTTAATAAACATGTATGCATATCACGCTGCGCCTTGGTCTGACCCGTCATTAAACGAACGTGACACCTTGGGAACAAGGTGGAGAAACACTGTCCAGCAGTACAGGTACACTGCAATGAAAGGACTGCAAAGACAGGACGATGGCATGAAATACAACAAAGGTCCCCACAGTCCTGTGCCTGGGGCTGGTATAGCGGGTTGAGCTACCATCTGCAGCACATCTATCCAGTCTGATGGTCCGTGGAGCTTTTAGTGCAGACAGGGAATGTGCAGGACTGGGGCATATACACAACTGCATGTTTACCCCTTCAGTGTGGGATCAAATCCCAGTCCCACAGCTATTCTGTATGTCTCCCTTCTACCTTCAATCCTGTCTCAAGAAATACAAATGAAAATGACAAAATGATTAAGAGGAGTAAATAAAAAGGTCCCCAGTGTAGACCCCCTGCTCTAGTGGTAACACACCCGCTCCTAGCACATATACATGCCTCCCTACCGGGGACCTGGTTTCAATCCCCAGTGTCTGTCCTTCCTGCAGTGTCTCCCCTCTTCATCAGTATCCCCCTCTACTTCTGTACCATCAGACAAAAAATCATAAAGCATAAAAATACGGCAGATAAAAAAAAGACGGTAGAAGCCATCTCACCTGCGCCTCGTTCTCCTTGAGCAGCCTGCTCGTGCGCGTCCCTCCCGGGTCGTCGGTGACGTTGAGCATGACCACGCCCTTCTTCTCCCAGCCGATGAAGGATCCGTCCGTCAGGGCCTCCACCATGGCCAGGAAGTCCTCATAACCATGGTGACGCGTGGCCACCACGGAGAAGGAGGTCCAGTCGAACTCCTCCAGCACCTCAAAGACCACATCCAGCTGCATGGCTGTAGAGCAGGTGAACTGGAGGTAGATGGAGCCGCTCTCCTGGGGGAGGAGGACAACAGTGGTGTAGAGAAGGGGGAGAAAACAGTTTGTTAAAAAGTGAAATGGGTTTTCAGGACAGGGAGGGGGAAAGAGGGAGCGAGAGAGTGCAGTGATCTGGAGGATGGAGCCGCTCTCCTAGAGGGTTGTGTTCAGTTGGGAGAAAACGTTTTAAAGCGGAGTGAAATGGGGAGGTAGTATCTGTCCATAAGAACACAGAATTTCATTTTCTGCTATAGAGGAGGAATCCAGGCCTATTATTCACAAAGAGTCTCAGAGTAGGCGTGCTGATCTAGGACCTGTTTTGCCTTTTAGATCTTAATGAGTAAGATACAACGACAGGAGAGATCTGATCCTAGATCAGCACTCATTCGCTGAGACGCTTTATGAATACAGTGGAGTCAGTGTTGTGTTTAATAGGGATTAAACATTTTGTTTTCGAGGAAACGAGGTGGTAGTACCTGAACTTGTCCAATAAGAACACAGATTTCCCCTACTGAACATGGCCAATGTTAGGAGTAATGTAAAATTAGAACGACAGTGTGAGCTTAATTCAGTCCTAGACGCATTGCAGTGGCTTAGTCAAATGAAGGCCTATTTAGACCATACCATTGGTTAAGAAAGATACATTAAACTTGTGGTGCATCAAGTTTCTTACCTGTTCAGTGGCTTACATTCATGCAATAGCAATTTTACCCACGGTTAAATAGGCCTATAATCACACAATGTCTCTTGGTACAATAAAACCCCTACTACTGCTGCTACCCCCAGGCAGACTGTTTTCAAAGTAAGAAAAGCTTCCTGTTTTCAAGTAAGAACTACATGCGTAGGTAGGGTTTTTAAACAAAGACACTGCGCAAACATCAATACGGCCATTGTAATTGAATTCCAGTCTCAATATCCTTCCTCCCTCCCTTTCTTTTTTTCTCTTTGTCTGTCTTGTCTACTGTGAAGTCTTTCCAGTACAGTCCTACAGTTTGTCCCAAATGGCACCCTATTCCCTTTATAGTGCACTACTTTTGACCAGAACCTTATGGGCCCTGATTAAAAGCAGTGCACTATTTAGGGAATAGGGTGCCATTTGGGACACCGCCAGTATGTCCCTGTGTTTTACCAGAAGTACATTCAATTATTCGTTATTCACTGTGCAACTATTTCTATTTTTTATTACATTTGTTATCTTAGCTTTAGCTCTGCATTGTTGGAAAAGGACCCGTAAGTAAGCATTTCACTGTTAGTCTACACGTGTTGTCTATAAAGCATGTGACAAATCATTTTTAGTTGATTTGAAATTCTGTATTGCACTGTAGGTCATGATTTTCAATGAAAAATACTTCCTTTCCTTCATCTTCACTGATCTGACCAGACTGGAAAGCCTACACTTGTCCAGTTCTTTTAGATTAGGATAAGAACAGATGAGGGAATGGAGACAGACAAGATAACAGAGGCAGAGATGGGCAAAGATACTTAAAAATGTTTCTTGTTACAAAATACAAAATACTTTTGCCAAGTCATGTATTTAATAAAAATACTTGCAAGTAGCCCCATTAACTACAACAACATTCTCAGTAACGGTTACAGAAACGTTTTACTTGCTATGACTGTGATGTTGTTGTTTATCTACCTTAGTTGAATACTCTGGATAAGAGTGTATGCTAAATGACCAAAATGTAAATGTTAAAAATTAGCACTTGCAAAGCACACTGGGTATTATTGTAATGAGCTCCACCCCCAAACAATTTGCTTTTGAATAAAATGTGGCCTTGTTTGTGGGCAGAGATAATTAGAATAATACCCAGTGCAGAATGCAAGTGTTCATTTTTCCATTTCCATTTTCACATCATAGTGTCATCAGACTTTTGATACCAATGCAGCAAATATGGGGTGATAGGGGGCCACAAAATTGTGAACCGCTATATTTTTTTTAAATGGAAAAGTATTTTGTATTTTGAAAATACAAAAATACAGCTCTCTAAAGCAGCATTTCCCAAACTCCGTCCTGGGGATCCCATGGGGTGCACGTTTAGTTTTTCGCCCTAGCACTACACAGCTGATTCAAATAATTAAATATTGATGATTAGTTGATTATTTTAATCAGCTGTGTAGTGATAGGGCAATAAACAAATAGTGCACCGCTTGGCGTCCCCAGGACCGAGTTTGGGAAACACTGATCTAAAGTATCTTGTTACAGAATACATTGGATTGTAGTTCAGGCCAGTGAAATACAAATTACAAAATACTTAAAAGTAATTAAAATACGTATTTCAAATACATGTAAAAGAAATACTGCCCATCTCTGAACAGAGGACTACAATTGAGATGGAACTATATTATGCATATGTAAATGACCACCGTTGAACTCCCTCGCTTTATTCATTATTCAGAGAGCTATTCGGCCAGCTCTAGGAAGAGTCTTGGTGGTTCCAAACTTCTTCCATTTAGGAATGATGGAGGCCACTGTGTTCTTGGGGACCTTCAATGCTGCAGACAATTTTTGTTATCCTTCCCCAGATCTATGCCTCGACACAATCCTGTCTCGGAGCTCTACGGACAATTCCTTCCACCTCATGGCTTGGTTTTTGCTCTGACATGCACTGTCAACTATGGGACCTTATATAGACAGGTGTGTGCCTTTCCAAATCATGTCCAATCAATTGAATTTACCACAGGTGGACTCCAATCAAGTTGTAGAAACATCTCAAGGAGGATCAATGGAAACAGGATCCACCTGAGCTCAATTTTGAGTCTCATAGCAAAGGGTCTGAATACTTATGTAAATAAGGTATTTCTGTTTTTTATTTTTAATACATTTGCTAACATTTCTAAAAACCTGTTTTTGCTTGTCATTATGGGGTATTGTGTGTAGATTGATGAAAAAAGAAGAAAAAAAACATTTTAGAATAAGGCTGTAACGTAACAAAATGTAGAAAAGGTGAAAGGGTCTGAATACTTTACGAATGCACTGTAGGACCCTTTTCACAGAGGGTTCTACATGGAACTCAAAATAGTTCTACCTGCAACCAAAAAGGGTTCTACCTGGACCCAAAAAGGGTTATCCTATGGGGACAGCCGAAGAACCCTTTTGGAACCCTTTTTTCTAAGAGTGTAGGGTTGCACAACTCCCGTCCTCGAGGGCCACTCTCTCTGTTTTCTGTTTTATCAACGGCAGATTTTTACCTTTGGAAACCAAGTGTTGAACCTTCCCAGCAATCATTGACATTAATTGTTCAATTACAGTAAGTGCCAGGCAGACACAAAGCAGCAGGACTGCGGCCCCCTCGAGGACTGAAGTAGTGTTCTCCTACTCAGACCACACTGTATTCAGCGGGCAATTTTCATACTAGTTGTATAAGGGGACATTTCGTAAACATATTTTTAGCAACAAGATAACAACCAAAATACAACGTCTTTCCCATGACGTTTTGAAAAATACATCTTTACCTGGTTGTAACAGAGACCAGTTGGTTGCAATCTGGTTTTATGGTGTCTTCTCAACCAGAAACCCAGTTTCCAACCAGAAAATGAAGACGTCATGTGCCAAATTCTCCCAACTGGGTAAGATTAAGCTTCAAACACACAGTAACTTACGACTGATTGATTACTTGAAATCCATTAAGAAGGCAAAGTTCACAGCCAGGTAGTTACCTGTGGCTCCCTGCCCAGGCCGGCCCCTCCTCCCACGGCTACAACAGGCACTCCGGTCTGGGCCGAGACAAACTCCAGCATGGGGGCCAGGGGAGCCTGGTTGGGTGGCGGGGGCCTCTCCTCCTCGAACACCAGGCCCTGGAGCGGCGTGGTGGCCAGCAGCTCACACAGCTGCAGCAGAAGGCTCGCCGGGCTGCTCTCGTTCACCGTCAGGTAGATCACGTTGGCCGGGCCATACTGCGTCATCACACTATCGCCCACCAGAGCCGCCGACGCAGATGCCAGCGGCGCAGACACCGCCACCGTAGCCAATGACGACGAGGCCCCCCTCCCCTGAGGCCCCACCGGCCCGCCCATGGCGCCCGTTCCCCCAGCAGCGGCCGTCTCTGGGAGCAGGGAGGAGCCCGAGTGGACCACAGCAATGTTGACTACGCCCAAGTCCCTCTCTCTCTCCCGGGGGCGGAGCAAGAGGGGAGGGGAGGAGCGGGCAGGCCCTGTGCAGGCCAGCACGGCCAACAGGAGGGAGAGGGCGGGCTTGGCCGCCATGGGGGTGGGGGGCAGTTTGGTGGGCAGAGCAGCGACGTCAGTGGTTCACAGGCGAAGAAGAAGGACCTGGAGTGGAGAGGCGAGAAGAAAGGATTGAGAGGGAAAAAAGTCTGAAGAATGAAAGACCTGTAAGTGAGTGAGGAGAGGACAATGATACACATAGAAGTAAGTATATAATATAATATATAATATAATATATATAATATAATATTAATATAATATAATATAATATTTATTATTATTATAAGTAAGTAGGAGCTGCAGTGGCGAGGGATACTATTGAAAAACAATAAAGAGTAGGGTAATGGGAAAAGGGCCACTATCGAGAGAGAGAGAGAGAGAGAGAGAGAGAGAGAGAGAGAGAGAGAGAGAGAGAGAGAGAGAGAGAGAGAGAGAGAGAGAGAGAGAGAGAGAGAGAGAGAGAGAGAGAGAGAGAGAGAGAGAGAGAGAGAGAGAGAGAGAGAGAGAGAACCTAACCTACCATACGATCAATCAACATCCAATAAGGTCAGTGTCAGTGTAAGTGTAAAGCCAAGTACAGCGAACTACAGAGGAACATAAGCTCACTGCTTAGGGACTAGAGTAGGAGTGCTCACCCCTTGAACTCAACCCTCCCCCCTACGGGACATCAGAATTCATTACCCCAGGAGCTGATTCATGGTTCGGTCCCACACCATTGGAGAGCTTTGAAGCTAAGCTATAAATCTTTTCAGTCATAAACCACCAACGGGTACTGTACATCTAAATGGACCGGGCTAAATTACAATACAAATAAAACTGGGGAGGGGTGGCGAGTTTAGTCGAGGTAGGTGTGTGTATGCACATTTTTATAAACAATTGTGGTTGAGGTGGGGAAATGCTCTGTGCAGTTCAGTGAGGCTACGAGACTGTACACTAAATGTAAGGAGATGTAAAGCAAGCAACACTCATTGAATCATTTTGAAGTCGCTTAGCGTGCCAACCCCCCTGCCACACCCCCCTCCCCTCCTTCTCACCCCCCCTTTCCATTCACTCTCTTTAATTAACCCTCCCTCTCCCCCTGGGGCACACATAAATAGACACAGAGTCAAAAACACACTCTCTCCAGATCACTAACACGCAGAACAACAATCAGTATCTGTCACTCCCTCTCATATTGCCTGTTTTTTCTCATAGTGTCAGTGGCTAATGCTTTGAACCAGAAGGCTTGCTGACGTAATATTCTCTTCACTCCTCCAAACAAACAGCTTATTTCTGCCTTGTTCTCTCTCTGTCTCTCTTTCTCTCTCTAATTCCGTTTTCACATTCCTACATCGCTCCTTTTGACGCTGAGTTATCATCTGAGGAAAAAATGCATTGAAATAGGGGGATTACGATGATGAAAAGCACTCCATTTGTGGGAAAAGGGGGATGTAGACAAATTAAAAGAAACTGTAGCTGTCGTGGAGCCAGATAGCCACGTCGGCTGTAAAGTGGGAGAGGCAATCAAGTATTGAGAGAGGATATAAAAAATAAATTTAAAATACATATTTTATTGTCACATAGGTGCAGTGAAATGTGTTGTTTTACAGGGTCAACCATAGTAGTATGGCGCCCCTGGCGCAAATTAGGGTTAAGTGCCAAGTATATCTAGGGGACTGTAGGAGGGGGCAGGGAAGAAAGATAAGTATTTAACACTGGCCTCAATATACCATTCAGACAAAGCCAGACCTCGGCTTGAATGTCTCATCCGAGCCCTGTTGCATAATTCAATTGGATATTACTACCCTGGTTAAGCCTATGGGCAGAGCCTGCCATGAAACCTAACAGCCTCACCATTTTTCAAAGGGAGAAAGACTCTTAAATATGTCTCCCAGGCCCAGCCCGAAGGGCATGCAGCTTAATCCAGTTCAGACCTTATGAAACCAGTACAGACCACACAGGTTCTGTACTCAGTTCGAAGGGCATACTGCTGAATCCAGTACAAACCGCACTACTGTCCATATTCCGGAACAATCATTCCAGGCTAGTATTGCATCCGCTGGCCCTAAACCACTCAGCTTGTGTTGTCACTCCCCAGGGCTCTCGTACTCCCCACTCCCCAGGGCTCTCGTACTTCCCAGGGCTCTCATACTCCCTAGGGCTCTCATACTCCCCACTCCCCAGGGCTCTCATACTCCCCAGGGCTCTCATACTCCCCACTCCCCAGGGCTCTCGTACTCCCCAGGGCTCTCGTACTCCCCAGGGCTCTCATACTCCCCAGGGCTCTCGTACTCCCCACTCCCCAGAGCTCTCATACTCCCCAGGGCTCTCATACTCCCCACTCCCCAGGGCTCTCATGCTCCCCAGGGCTCTCATGCTCCCCAGGGCTCTCATGCTCTCCAGGGCTCTCATACTCCCCAGGGCTATCATACAGGGGTTTAATGGTCTTCCCCTGACATATAGTGCATTGTTTGTTGCCTATGTTAAATGGGCCCTTAACTGATGGGTTTTTCACACTCAACAGTTTCCCGTGTGTATAAAAAATGGTCCCCCACCCAAAGGACATCCAGCCAACTTGACACAACTGTGGGATAAAAATAAAAACACAGCCAAGACAACGCAGGAGTGGCTTCGGGAAAAGTCTCTGAATTACCTTGAGTGGCCCAGCCAGAGCCCGGATTTGAACCTGATCGAACATCTCTGGAGAGACCTGAAAATAGCTGTGCAGTGACGCTCCCCATCCAACCTGACAGAGCTTGAGAGGATCTGCAGAGGGAGAAACTCCCCAAATACAGGTGTGCCAAGCTTGTAGCGTCATACCCAAGAAGACTCGAGGCTGCAATCGCTGCCAAAGGTGCTTCAACAAAGTACTGAGTAAAGGGTCTGAATACTTATGTAAACGTGATATTTCAGTTGTTGTTGTTTTTTTTATTGCAAAAATGTCTAAAAACCTGTTTTTCCGTTGTCATTATGGGGTATTGTGTGTAGATTGATGAGGGGGGGGGGGGGGGGGGGGGGGGGGGGGAGGGGGGGGAGTATTTCATCCATTTTAGAATAAGGCTGTAAAGTAACAAAATGTGGGAAACTATGCCTATATATTCCACATTTGTTAGGATAAATCCCTTTGAGGTGATCTGTCTTGTTTCCAAGGAAGTGCCAGGAGAACAACAGAACTAATACAGGGCTCCTTGAGCTTTAAACAAGTAAACATACCTATTTTGTTTTAACAAAAAATATTCCCTCACAGTCAGCACAGCAGTTAGTTATACGGAGCTACTTAAATAGGCTATTTAAGATAAATGGTATAAAGGAGTTGCCTGGATGAAATGCAATCATTACTTTATGCACTTGTATTTCTCTTAGAATTTTGCACCAAATAAGGACAAACAAGAAGCAATTATTTTTAACTTCCTACTATACCTCCAATTCACCACTGATTTTGTGGCTGAAAATGAGGAATATCGCATTCCATTTTATTGGGGATGTGAATCATTACCTCATGCATCCTCTTTGCATGAAAGTAATTTGGTGGTGAAAATTGTACTGGGATCAAACTTTGCCCCTTGGCACTCTGCATACAAAGGATCAATATTATTTATATAAATAATTGCTACTCTAAAAATACATATCACAATGCATTTGCTGAGGGTCATTGGTGGCATTCTTCATTTCCCATATGCTGCGGCTATGGATGGTGGGAGGGGAAGGAATGAATGAATGCGGGCCTGCTCGGCTCAGCACACAACACTGAGGAAGCACAGAGGTATTTTAGAGCGTCTGCTCTCTCTGCAAAGAAGTAATCAACAGGTTGGCCAGTGACCTTGCTAACAATGTTTTTAATAAACATGACCTTCATTAGATTTAAAGAGAAGCTGGTGAAGGGAGTTATGGGTAAAGGGGCAGAGGAGGCAGAGGAATGAGATGAACTGAGCAGCAGTGGGATTCCACTGGGCACAGACGTCAATTCAACATCTATGCCACGTTGGTTCAGCGTAATTTCATTAAACTGACGTGGAAATCACTGGCCACTTTAAGAAATAGAACACTAGTCACTTTAATAACGTTTACATATCTTGCACTACTCATCTCATATGTATATACTGTATTCTATTCTATAATATTCTACTGTATCTTAGTCCATGCCGCTCTGTCATTGCTTGTCCATGTATGTATATATTCTTAAATTTCATTCCTTACTAGATTTGTGTGTATTGGGTATATGTTGTGAAATTGTTCGATATTACTTGTTAGATATTACTGCACTGTTGGAGCTAGAAGCACAAGAATTTCGCTACACCCGCAATAACATCTGCTAAACACGTGTATGTGACAAATACAATTTTATTTGATTTGAAACAACGTTGATTCAACCAATGTGTGCCCAGTGGGATATAGGATGCTGAGGGTCTCTGATGCTCCCTCGACCCCCCTTGGTATCTTGCTCATGTTTGTTCTACCGCCTTCTATCTCTCTCTCCTCTCTCAACCATTCCATCTATCTCTCCCACTCCCTCTCTATCTATCCCTGGCCTGTCCCGCTCTCCATCTCCCACTCCCTCTCTATCTATCCCTGGCCTGTCCCGCTCTCCATCTCCCACTCCCTCTCTAGCTATCCCTGGCCTGTCCCGCTCTCCATCTCCCACTCCCTCTCTATCTATCCCTGGCCTGTCCCGCTCTCTATCTCCCACTCCCTCTCTAGCTATCCCTGGCCTGTCCCGCTCTCCATCTCCCACTCCCTCTCTAGCTATCCCTGGCCTGTCCCGCTCGCCCTCTCCCACTCCCTCTCTATCTATCCCTGGCCTGTCCCGCTCGCCCTCTCCCACTCCCTCTCTAGCTATCCCTGGCCTGTCCCGCTCTCCATCTCCCACTCCCTCTCTAGCTATCCCTGGCCTGTCCCGCTCTCCATCTCCCACTCCCTCTCTAGCTATCCCTGGCCTGTCCCGCTCTCCATCTCCCACTCCCTCTCTATCTATCCCTGGCCTGTCCCGCTCTCCATCTCCCACTCCCTCTCTAGCTATCCCTGGCCTGTCCCGCTCTCCATCTCCCACTCCCTCTCTATCT